TATTCTAATTAATCATACAAATATAACAAAATTTCCCGTGGGATAAATTATGTCATATCACGTATAATTAATTACAAATTTTATGCTAACTTTAATGTAATTTCCGCCAAGGGCTTCTTAATATATAATTTTAATTAATTAAGGATGCTGTGGCTACTCCAAAATTAATAAAATTATATTATCACAAAGGCAATCCTTTAAAGTTTTAAAAACAACAATCGTGATGAACAATCCCCTAATATGCTCCCAGGATAGTCAGTCGGGGCTAGGATTTATTAAAGAGTAATTCTTTAGATAAATTAACAGTTCGAGGAAAAAACTAGTATAAAGAATTGAAGCGTAACTAGTTTTTACTTCCCAAGAATTTTCCCCGGTCTAAATTTATCACGCTAATTATTGTTTGGATACTACCACAAATATTTTATTTATGGGAAAAACTTTAAAGGTAATGGAATGAGAATTTTATTTACTTAATGTGCTTAAATCGCAGGCACCATCTCAATTATAATTATGCATAAGTTCAACTTTAATGGGAATAATGTGTGCATTATTTCCCGACGTTATGCATTCAGGGCATTAATAATACGTTACGTATTAAAGACATTAATATTACGCATTAAAAGCATTAATAATACGTTACACATTAAGGACATTAATATTACACATTAAAGACATTAATTTCTAACGTTATGCATTACAGGCCGTATCAATATAGTGCGCGATTTCAATGCACAATTTAAATGAAATGCATAAAGATTAAAATCAATGCATCACGTAAAAATTAAAAATAAATGTGCTGGAAAAAGAATTAAACTATTCCACAACATACAAAACCTTATCGAACCAAATTAAAATAGCACAATTTAATTTATTCAAAGTGGATCCCAAATATAGTAATAAGTCCAAAACTTATTCTATAGATTCACGAAGACATTCGGAAACCATAATGGAGTGACAACATTCCTTATGATGCTATTACAAACTCCTCATGGCACTACCGCCGCAATACCCTATGGTGCTACATCAACCGGAGGCCACCATATCCGATAGCATCTCCACCATACATATAAATGTAGCAAACATAGATACAAAACATGCATGGTATACAAAATACTACATGTTCAATTTCATATATACATGTAGACATACTATATGTATGCATGTAAAATGCAACAAAATTATTAACTAGCCATCCATTTTAATATTCTCCAAATTAAAAATGGATAGAAGAATCACAAAAAATTGCAAGGCACATGTATATTATACACACGGCTCACACACATACATATATAATTCATTTAGAACACATATATTCAAGAATTAAATGTAACCATAGTCATTCCATCAAACATAATGATATGAATTTAAAAGGTTAACATATGAATTTAAGAAAATCATATGCATATGTCTCTCACGATCAAATATATACGCATATAACAATTCCAATACATAAACTCATATAAACATATATAGTTCCGAACAATTAATCTATATAATTTTCGGACAACATATGTATATATAACGCACGATTATATACATAGTTATATCACACACAAATATAAATATGTTCCATATGAAAAAACATACGAATATATATACTCCCTCCGTTCCCTAATACTTGGCCCTCTTTCCATTTTGGGATGTTCTCTATTAGTTGTCTCCCTTTCCAATTTTGGTAAGTTTTTTCAATAAATATACTCATTTACCCTCATTCTCTTTCCTACTTTTTCAATCTCTTTCCTACTTTTACCTTTACACACAACCCACTGCACCTTTTATCCTACCCCTATTAATTCCTTCTTAAATCTTGTGCCAAAGGCTATACTCCAATCTATTAGAGAACGGAGGGAGTATTACATATGAACACACATATGAACATATGTACAACACCTTTCATTCATATTGAAATTATTCATGTATGCCCATATGACATGTAATCATGATTTACATCATACATAGATATGTATATGTGTTATTCTAACACACATATGATTCAATTTTCATGCATATGTCATGGAAATCATGTTAAACGTATACACACATATATTTATAATATACGAACAAATCATATATATGTGTGATGTGATGAGCACATATATGAACATGTATATATCGAATGTTCATACAAAATTCATGATGTTCATACAACAAATAGGCAGAGATCAAACAGGCTCTGATACCAAATGTTAGCCTGAAATCATATAAACGCAGCGGAAATAATAGGATCACTGACCTCCAGCCATATTGTTGATGAACGGTCGAAGAACGTGGAAGAACCCCGGAAAGCCTTTTCGTCTCCCACTTCACTCCTCACTATCTAGATGGTGTATATACTTTATGTGAGCTTTGAGCCTTATGCCATTGAAGGAGTGGGAGGACCATGGAGCAATATATATAATCACCTACCATCAAGGTGACTCTTGTAACGGAAAACGTTACAAATATCCGCCATCATTGCACCACACTTATGAGACATTATTATTGATTAATTCAAAATAATGTTACATTCCCTTCATAATTTGTTTTTTAATTTTTTACTAATAGGGAATTAATAATAATGATGGTCAAAGTTGTGCATTTATAAGCGTGAAAACGAATGTTGCAAGTAAAAAAGAAGAGAGTATAATATATAATAAATAGATAAATAAATAGACTTACTATTTTTTGTTGGATGAAATATAGATAGACTTACTAGAATCTATCGACGGTGGATTCCTTTGCGGCACTGAGGTTATGATGATGATAAATTGAAAACTTACTATGAAATATAGCACTTGCACTTGTACATTTTTTAACGAGAAGGGGTTTTAGCAACTGATCTAGGCATATAAATAAAAACACGTGAAAGTTTTTTCATTTCAAGGTTGAATTATAATAGTTCAGAACACCACTTACTCGACGGGTTAGGGCTCGATCAGAGTTGTCATAGTGAACTCTGGAGATCCCTTAGCGTAAATGTTGATACCTCTAGGCTTAGTGGTTAGTGGTTTGTGAATGTTGGTGGTGAAAGGCAAAGGACTGTGTGCGATTATCGTAGTACTGTTTCTGCTTTCAACATAGTTTTTCGGATCGTTTGTGGCGATAGAAAGTTTCAGTTTAATTAAAAACTTACTACCAAGTATATCAATTGAACAAAAAAAAACAAAAAAAAATATCAATTGAACATTTTTAAACGAGAAGGGGTTTTAGCAACTTCTCTAGGCATATAAATAAAAACACGTGAATTTTTTTCATTTAAAGGTTGAATTATAATAGTTCACAACACCACTCACTCGTCGAACACTTGAAATATCACATCGTTGATAGGATGAATGATTATGTGACATCATTGTGACTTGTGAAGATCTCTTTTCCAATATTAGTGTTTAAGTAACCAATGAAGGTATACCACTACGGACTAATATCCGGGAGAGAGGAGCGGTAATGGCATGGGAAAACCCTAGCCTCCTCCCCTTTTTCTCTTCTTTTCTTCTGTTCTTTCAATCTTATTTGATTTCAATAATAGAAAAACATCATCTTAATGTGTGTTTTCAGTTTTATTCATCCGTTTCTTTCCCAACGTTGTTTGGAGATATTATTTTCGGTAGCGAAATATCGTTTGCCAGATTCATATTCCCCGCCATTGTTGGTCGGGCGTTCTTGTGTGCTAAGAAGAGATTTGCACTGATCTCTTCATAAATCAAAAACATGATTTTCTTCTGCGTCGACATTGAGATGGATCGCCCCCCTCCTGAACCACCGCCGTTCCAGGAAGATGAGATCATTTGGATTGCTTTCTTTTCGGTGGCTGGTGAAACCAGAACAAATTCTATAGTTGGCTCCTTAACGCTGGCTGGAGAAACCGGGATGTTTAAGAGTTCTTTTGATAATTATTGTGATCGTAGCAGGAGCAATCATTGTGCATGTAGAGTCGTCCGTTGCGAGATTAGCGATTCGACATTTTCGATTAGAATCGTCCGTTTCTATGTCTCATCCCATTGTTGCCTTGAGCTTTATGATTGTAATGTTTGTTGTCATCTTCATTAATAATAATTAAGTTATTTGTTTTCAAAAAAAAGTAACCAATGAAGGTCTTAACAAATTTTCCTGGACTCAGTGGTTTGTGAATGTTGGTGATGAAACTATGGAAGGCAATGGTGTGTGTGCGATTCTCGTAGTACTGCTCCTGCTTTCAACATAGTTTTTGGGATCGTTTAGGGCATGGGGTATTGCAAAAGCTTGAATGCCTGGTCTTCCAAAATCGATAGTGCTCCCACAATGCATACTACATATGGTCCTTACAAGCATCCTCATAAACCTCCATGGATCCATGGTTCACAGGTTCCGGCTGCGGGAGAATTTACGTAGGGTAAAAGGGTTTGAAGAAGTGTTGAAGAATGAAGACTGGTTGTCTCGCTCAGAACTCAGAAGAAACACTGATTTTACCTTTGTATTTGCTTTCTTAAATGAGGGTTAGCTCTTCTTTTTGGTTAGTTTTTGTTATGGTTTTCTATTCTGGGGAGAATAATGATAGCATAGCTATGCGACTTCATGTCCAAATATAATCTACAATTCGTGTTACTCTTATAGTGTGGATGACTATATGTCCGGTAATATAGTGTCTATAGTTGTATAATCTAGGTCCACGCCTTGTGCATCATTGACCATTTTCCTACAGATATTGATTACTCTCAAAATCACTTTAATTAATCAAACACAATAAGAATAGATATTTATGTCTACAATACAATAAGTTGGAGCAACAATTACCTGTTTTAACAGCAATGGTAAACAATAGCATAAAGTCATAGCTTGTGTTTTAAGTAATTCAACAACTTTTCAAAGAGCATAATGGGACAAGATGCTAGAATTCGTGAAGGGGAATCAACTAGGGGGAGAATCATGAAATAACATGAATACATGATAGGCCCTCCAGAACCAGTGGTGATACCCAGAATGAGATTCTTATAACAAAGCAAGAGTTAATTGAGTAGACTATTATCATGAATAAAGGCTTTTCCTACAACTCAACTTTTCTACTCCGTATTATTTATCAATCCGTATAAAAGATTCATCATTTCTGTCCCTATTGTATGAGGATATGGAGAACGTGAAAGAAATAAGCAACCATATTAACAACATATCAAAGAATTACGAAAATGACAGCATTGTCTAGCAATGTGGAAGCAAACTGTTTACTATGTACATGAGGAGCATCAAATACCAGAAAATGAATAAAAAACTGGACCAATGCAATAAACGAACTGTTCACTAATGTGAAACTACTAAATGACAAATCTTTTATTTGGTACTTTGGCTTTTTGGCACTTATATCTGTGTTGAGGCCTTTGATATGAGCTGTTCCATTCCCAGAATTATTACAATTACCGTCACATCATCATGATATTTTCTCCTCATACCATCCGGGATACTCATCATCTCTTCCATGCTGATACCTGCAGGAGTAGAAGAGGTTACTGAACAACCAGATTCTATAAAAAACGAATATCATTCAGTTTCATTATTATCTTTTAAAAATAGTAAGAGCCTGTCTTGAATAATTGTAGTTTAAATCTAAAAGCAGTTGTTCAAAATTTTGTAAGGAATGTGTTGAAAATAATACAGTATATTTATAGGGGTTGAAAGAGTTTGTATCAACAAAAAGCACAAATTTGGTGCCCAAGCATGTACTAACTTAGCTGAGTGAAGAAAATAAGACTTAAAATATCATGCCTGCACAATCTGCTGCTCTCATTACAAGCTGTTCCACCAAAAACTTCGCAGGATCACCACAAAGGTTACTTAGCAAGTAAGAATGAACAAGTTTGACAAGCTCTTCATTGGTGAAGAAGTCAAACAAACCGTCACTTCCAAGTATAACAAAGTGGTCAGCACTTGAAATTTCATGAGCAAACAAAGATGGTTGTGCAGATATGTACGGAGGACTAATCAAATTCTGGACTTTAAGAATGCCCATCAAAGCATCATTCATGATTTTCTGCAAAAGTACAACAGAGTTTTAACATGTTGATATATGTCCTTAATGATATCCGCACAATATACATCACAATATACTTCCCTGGCTGATATAGATCAGCACCTCAGAGTATTAAATTATTTCTATTTAAAAAAAGTAAAAACACAAACTTGTTTCCCCAAAAAAGAAGGAAGAATTAGTACCTTTTTCAGATAACCAACACCGAGAGCCCGAGTAACTTTTAGTTTTCCCTTAACTTTTCCTGCAACAATGGGTGAGGGATCATCAGGATGATCATTTAATAATAGAGTTCTCTCATACTCATTATCAACTGTATGAGTTGGTGTGAGCTGGACAACTTGTAGTCCATTTCTATCAGCACATTCATCATATGTAGCCAATACTGCTCTACTGTCACCTAGATTCAGCACATACATACTATTCCCATGTAGAAGCATGGATAAAACACAACATCCTACAGATGCTAGGTAAGGACGGTTCTCCATTTCTTGTTCAACCACATATAGGAAATCATTCTCGGCTTGACTAAGAGCTTTCTGAAGGCTATTCAAAACCATCTTCTTAAATAAGTCACCTGGTTCATCCAATTCCATGGAGGAATGTCCAATTGATTGTTTATCTAGGGTTTCATCCACAGACTCCTCAAGTTCAAAATCCAATACGTTCAAGTAATCCCTCACTTTTTCATACAATGTTCCAGCTAGAAAATCGGCAGCGTCTCTACCATTAAACCCGTCATAAATGCCACAGAAAAGCCAACCATTCTCTTCCGAAAGAACGGCCTGGACTCTGTCTTCCCCAGCAGCACCGCCTGCAACTTGCACTTCTGGTGAATTCAAGAAGCTGTCATTATTGGAGTCAGGTGATGATGAGTTAAGGCTGAGGCTTGAAAAGCTGCTCGGCAAGGACGATGACAACAACCCGGAGAAAGATCTTGAAGAAGGTATTCGTCTGAAGGATTTGGGGGAATCCAATGCCGGCAGGATCTCTGTCCCCATCAATCCATTGCAGATGTTTGTGTTAACCAAAGTGGAATTAGCACTCAAAGCGGCTCCAGAAAGACAGGAAAAGGAATCACCCGCTCTTCGAAGCTTGATCCCGCGGGGAATTTCAGTACTTTCAATCTCATCAAGAGAATCGCGTCTATAGCCAAAACTTATGTTTATTTCCAGCCCAGAGACTGGTACTGTTTCCGCATGCATAGCTAGTCACTACCGATATGTATATACTACGTGAATAAAGATCAAAGACTTTTGAAGGAACAGAGAAGAGCGGAAAGATTCTTTGAAGGAACAGAGATGAGCAGTGAGAAGAAGAGATCTGTTCCGTACCCAAAATCGGTTGGATTGGGGACTTTTTCTTGTTTTCGGCAGTATCTTTCTCGGCAATGGTCCTCAGGAATTGCTGGTGAAAATTGTATCGACGGACGAGCGGAAATAACTAACTTTTCATTTCAATCCAAACTTTTGATATGATGACCTATTTAAATCTGGGTTCTTTGGTTTTTGGCGTTTTCAGCGCTACTAATAGCAGCTTAAAAGAATTATCAAACATGATCAAAATCATACTGCGTAAGATAATATTCAAAAAAATCAATTTTCTTATTCCAATTACAACTACGATTAGTGATCAAGACAATGGACCATACGAATAGCTAACCACAAATTGAGTTTAAAACAGGGAAAATATGTCAATATTACTAAAAGATGAAGACTTTCCCATAATATGACCAAAAAGTTTAATTGATGGGAATATGAGTAAGAAACAGCGTGGATGAGTCACATGCATTTTAAAATGAGACAAAATGACTTCAATGCCCTAATGTGTCCGACCGGAAGAGTTTTAATAAAAAGGAATTATGATTTGAAAGAGAAAGTAAATGAGATTGCGCTCAAGTAAGAATTTATTGCAGTAGAGAAACATAATAAGGATACAGCTTTCTTCTGTGATCGTATATCCACGAATACAAATGCCGAAAAGAAGAAGGCGAAGTTAAGGCAGTAAAATCGAAGGACATCATCTTTTTTCTTTTTTGTTCCCACGACATACTTAGACATGCATATATAGTTGTTTGTGACATTTAGACGTACAATAATTTTTTAGTGAATATTACGAGTTTGGGCAATAAAATGCAAATTAGTGAGTGAGGGCATTAATTTGTGGATAACTAAATAAGGCAGTAAATGATTTATGAAATGAGTTATTGAATACCAAATAATGTTGAAATGTAGGGCAGTAAAGAAGGAAGGAATGAATGTTAGAATATAAGGCACTAAATTGAAAAAATATTGTGAATGAAGGATGGCAGTGAAGAATGAGAAATGGGGACGGCAGTAATTTATGGAATTGGAACTATGTAATGAGGGTCTATACTGTTTTTTTTTCCAGTTGAGGAGCATGTTTTAGGGCATTAAAATATGAAGAAATTAAGTTGTGGAAGGAAAGAATAGACTAATGAAGTCATTAAGAGTGAATTATACGGCGTACTGGATAATTGGGTATGATGAATTATAGGCGTCAAAAATGAATAATGATAGTAGCAGCAGTTACCATAGTCAAACCCATCTTTTACCATAGCGAGAAACTAGGAAAACTTCCATGTACGTATGCGGCTTAAGCGGTTCAGCCGTCGAGGCCTTGAGGGCAAAGGTGGAATAAAGAAAAATAAAAATCACCATAAATGACCATGAACGGCATACGCACGTCAAAATGGGAAAACAAAAGACCAAGTCATATATCTGGAAATAGGTTATGTTTTGGTCTTAGGATGTATAATTTTCTCTTTAAAACAAGTCTTGCTTACCACCTCACAAAACTAGAGCGAGCTAAGAGCTTACATGGACTAACAAAAATGTAACACCACGAATAAGACTCATAAAAAGGTAACAACAAAACAACTCGAAGATTACGTTGGTGCTTTAGATCTGACTAAATCCGATGATTCTGGTTAAATTTATGAAGTTCTTGGTGAAGTGACTGCATTGTCTGATTTATGTAAAAAATGTATTTTTTTTTAAATTAAATAAAGATAAAATTATATGAAAATAGCCAAAATGGTTTCTATAGAAACTTGAGACAATACAGCCAGAAAAGTAACTTCAACCTTACTTTTTCTTATTATTACACAATTCAGCGCGCGAAATCAAAAGTTACGTGTTTGGTGAAAAGGTTGGCTGATAAGTCTGAGAAGACGAAAAACATGGTTACCAAACGTGGTCTTCGTTTGATGAAAATCAAGTGCAAGTTACCCGGCAAATTATACCGTACACCCGAATGTATGGTGCTCACGGTACATCCGAGTATTTTTGTAATTCTTTATATGCTTCCGTCTGTATTCTTTCTTCCATGCGTATGTGAACTACGGGCCTTGCAGGCATAGACGCATGGTGAGCATGCCCTTTTTACATACTGCTTTTCAACCATAGTGTTTTTTCTTAACCATCTTTTTTTGCTTTCTACGTAGTTCTTTTTTTTTTAAATTCTTTTTCATTTTTTCTTAACTACTTTTTCTATTGGTTTTAATTTATGATGAATATTTTAGATATTAATAATGCTATTTTTCTATTTTCAATTTAAGATGAAAATTTATTAGATTAGTAAATGTTATATGCTAATTACTAACATGAGTTTTGTGTTATATTGAAATGAGTATAATGTAAAATAAATATGCTTGAATAAATATTACTCCCTCCGTCCCCCTGTTATTGTCCCATTGCGGTTTACGATGCTTGACCGACGATAAAGCAAACAGATTCCTGTCCGCACTGAAATTATTTTTAGGAAAAAAAATTACATATTCAGAAACTACATTAAAAGATTTACAAAGTCGCAAAAAGCAGAATCAAATTTGATAAAAATTTGATAAATAAAGTAAGAGATTAAGAGTGATTTGTGTTGACCATGTGAATAGGAAATGAGACAATAACAGGGGACGGAGGGAGTATATAAAGAACCCAATTATAATTATAAATCCAGAACGTAAGACTATAAATTATTTTAATATAAAAATGTATATTTGTCATTAGTATATATGCCCTCAGTATATATGTCATTATAATATATGTCCACAAATGAACATTTAAACACATTAGGTAATTCAAACGAGTTTTTGAATTTTTCGATGCTCATTTTGTAAGCTTCATATGTTCATATGGTATTGGTTTTATGCTCATTTTAAAATGTCATATTAATGCATATTTCTAAAGTATCATATTTGATTCGCATAAGAGTTAGATTATATACATGAGAGTAGAGGTCATGATACACAATTGAATACTTCTTCTGATCCTCAATAAAAGAGGTTTGATGTTCACTGAACATGTCTTGATGCTCAACTAACAAAGCTTATGATTTTCATATAATTGCTCATTTGGTAAGTTTCGTATACTCATTTGGTACATGTGTTATGCTCATTTTAAAATGTTATAGCAATTCATATTTCAAAAGTATCATACTACATTAGATTTATACAGGAGTTAATTATAGATAGTACAACACACCGACCATGATACTCAATTACATGTTTCTAATACTCCATAGAGGAGTTTGGATGCTCAATGAAAATGTATTAATGCTCAACTAAAAAAATTATGATTTTCATATCAATGCTCATTTTGTAAGTTACGTATGTTCAGTTGATACTCATTTATGCTCATTTTTAAAATGTCATATCAATGCATATTTCAAAAGTACCATATTACATTAGATTCGCATCTTAAAGTTCATAGAAGTTGATTATAGATATAATTTAATAAGTTTTTATACTCATTGTTAAGCTTCCAATGCTCAATAAAATATGTCTGATGCTCACTAAAAGTGCATCAATGCTCATTTAGTAGAAGACGCGAATTTCATTTAAATTATCAAAATGAGCACACTATAGATTTAAAATGAGCATGCAATAATGAATATACTTAACTGATATCCGTACATCCGAACATATATGTTCACATTTTTATTTTTTGAATGCTCATTTCTTAAGTAATACATGCTCATTCAGTATACTTCTCATGTTCATTTCAAAATATCATATCAATGCACATTCGATAAGTAGCATATTCTCATTCTCTAGCTAGTTGTGATCATTTGGAAATACTATATCAATACACATTGTTGTATATATTTTTTGCGATGTACTCATATGAAAACTTTTTTGTGATTGATTATTTTATAATTTCATATCAATACTCATTTCCTTTAATCGTTACAATCATGTAAGTATACTATAAAACTCATTTATGGATAATCCACATATCTAATTATATTCAACTTAGTATAAATAAAAACATCTAAAATTTGTTTAAATTGTAGAAGTAGAATAAAGTTAAAAAAAATCAAATTGTAACAAGAACTATTTTGAAATAATCATTAATCATGTATATTTAAATATTTTATACAAGTGGAACAAATGATAAAATATTCAATCAAAAAATAAATTAACATTCACTTTGTCATTTTTTGGAATAGTTTGTGTGCATTCATATTATGAATCAATTTAGAAAATTGAAGCATTGATGATGCATTGAATTAATCTTGAAATCAGATTGCATCTCATTTAACATTTTCGGAATTGACAAGATTCAATTTTAGAATCACAATACAATTTAAGAATTGGAAATATTAAGAATTGTAAATATTTAGAATCAATTATAAACAAAGAAGAAAATGAAAAGTTGGCCCAAGTGGAAGACGTATTGGAAGAAGATGCATGATAAAAGAGATCATGTGCCAGTTTGATAAACATGCGGAATTTGGAGGGATTGGTATACATGCGGAAGAAATCGTACATTCATAATCCGTTAAAATAAGAGACTTTGATAGAGTAGGTATCAAATAGACCCGGAAATTGAACAAATTACAAAAAAACCTGGATGTAAATATACATCCGAGTGTATAGTATAGGAACTGTAAGTTACCCATCCACATCATGATTAGGGTTCAGGATGAGACGGATCATCGGTGATGCTATACATCGAATGAGTAGCTTGATGGTTTTCTATAAAATAGAGCTAGATTCGATGGAATGGTGAAAGTGATGGACAAAAGCAGAAAAAAATTTACTCCCTCCGTCCCGCAAAATGATTCTATTTTACCTTTTGTGAAAAGTTGTATGTATTTAACATTCATTTATCTTTTTCTTACTCAACCACAGTCATACATTTCTAGTTTATACTCACTTTCTTAAACTCCGATCCAAGTCAAATCAAGAACTATTTTGCGGGACAGATGGAGTATTTATAAAGAACGGGCCGCTTACCGCACGAGTAGCACAGTTGGTTGAGTGGTGGGAGGTTACAGCTCTTGCGTGCTTGACTGGACCTCTGGTGCGCACGGATACAAGGTCTACCATCATTGGACCGACTGAGTCACCATGACTTACAATCTCCCAAAAGTCTTGTTGGGTCGGGGCGTGGGGGGCTTAAGGGTTGGGGATTCTACCTTTTGGAAGAATGAAGAACGAGTCACTTCATCGGTACATCACTACCCTCCAAGTC